GGACTATCATCCCAAAATGCTGCTAAAAGCTATTAACCAGTATGTGTTAATTGCCACAGCATTCATATTAATTTTCACTTCAGGCTCGACATTGTGGAATATTTCCCCTGATACATTTTAAACAAAGTTTAATTTAAGGAACTGCTTCTATCAACACTTATGAAAATTAACAGCCAAGCAATTAGCACTCATGAATTATCCCTTCCCCCATGCTCTCTGCAGCTTCAGTTAAAACAGTTTCTAACAGAGAAATGGTTACTTTCTAATAAGTTAACACAATCAAAGTCACAGTTGTCTATATGAACAAGAACAGGTTCTGCTTTCTTAAGCACTTGTTAAGGCAAACATTCTCCTTATATTTAGAGTAGAATTTAGCTAAGTCAAATAAATATTTAACATTTTAGTAAACTGCCAAACAATGACTAATACTGACCTACCTTCTCCTATGATGTTAAAAAAAAAAAAGGGGGGGGGGAGTAATTACTTGACTCAATCTTCCTATTTAAAGTTAAAGGCCAAAACCTCCTGAACTCGCTGGACTTGAGAGAGACCTTCACCCAGTCTGCTGCACATCTTGTTTAACAATGCTATTCTAAACTTGTGGTGTCAAGAACACATTTCCTCTCACTCAATCCTGTCAATAATCTAATGAAGTACATAGAAGGGATAGCATCACTGGCCCTCATCCTTTACAGAGAGGGGCAGAAGTGGGATGTTTGTTGAGTGCTTCCTATTATGTGCTACACGTCTTGGTAAACAGACCTTATCTCAATTAATCCTCATGAGAAAGATATATTATCATCATCTCAACCCACATATGAGGACTGGAGCTTCCCGAGGTTAAGTAACTAGCTTGAGGTCACACTGTTAAGGGGTAGAGCCAGGATTCAAACTCAGGTCTTAATACAAAATAGGTCACAAAGTAAATTACACTGTTTCTCATTGTGCTAGGTGCTCTATCCTACTATTATCCTATTTGATGGTCTCATCAGCCTTGTGAGGAAGGAACTCTCATTTCTTTAATAGGTAAAGAAACTGAGGTTTGGAGAAATGGAAAACCTGACCAAGATGTCACAACAGATAATCAATATCATTTCTTTGTTAGTAACTCTACTGACAGGAAATGGGTATTTAAAATTCTAATGGGGGTGCCTGGATGGCTCAGTCAGTTAAGCTGCTGACTCTTGATCTCAGCGCAGGTCTTGATCTCAGGGTTGTGAGTTCAAGCCCTGCACCAGGCTCCAAGCTGGGCGTGGAGCCTACTTTAAAAAATAAAATAAGGGGCGCCTGGGTGTCCCAGTCGGTTAAGTGTCTGCCTTTGGCTCAGGTCATGATCCCAGGGTCCTGGGATTGAGCCCCGAGTTGGGCTCCCTGCTCAGCAGGGAGTCTGCTTCTTCCTCTCCCTCTGCCCCCACACTCGTGCTCTCTCTCTCACCTGCTCTCTCTCTCAAGTAAATAAATAAAATCTTTTTTGAAATAAATAAAGAAAATAAAATTCGAATGGTCTACTAATGATGATAATATTTGCAAACTCAGTTTAACCAGAATAGTGGTGATGTACTAGCAAGTTTCTCAAGTTAAGTGATAAGGCATGGAATGGAAAGGGTTAGATACTTGCAAAAACATGACCTCACTTGAAACAGGTAGAAAGACTGGGCAGAAAGCCACACATTCGGGGATACTTAAATTTAAGTGCTGAATGAGTGTTCACTTAGCAGTAGAGCCCACTCCCTCATCACCTCAAAGCAACTCCTTGTCACACCCAACTCCCACATACAGTGAAATCAGAAGGACTGTCACAAGAAGTTTTCGGATTATCTCAATCTCTAGAACAGAGATTTTGTTAATTAGGCTATTTGAGGTCCTGTTTTCAACACGCCCAAAAAATGCAGGCAGATGGCTGAGCCTGGTTTTGCCTTGTGTGACCAAGCATTCCCTAAAACCACTTGCAATCTCTTTCTGACTTTTTTCAAATGATCAGTAAATAGAGTTACTGAATCTAAAACAGGCCACAGATAGCATCGCCAATTTACCAAAGAGATAATATAAACATAATAATAAACCAAATCCAAAAAATTGTTCAAATTACAACAAAGCACATGCCTAAGCACAACCTTTCCCTCTCAACTGTATGCCTCTAAGAAATTATTAATCAACGATTATTTTTAAAAATGAAATTATTAACCTGCTACAGGAACCACAAATTATTTGAAAGTATTCACTTTAATTTAGCACAATAGCTAAAAGATGCTTACCCTTAGAATCACTAAAACCAACAACAATCCAGTTTGCACAAACCATTAAAGACACTAGATATGCTGGCTTACCTACAATGTAATTGTAAAGCCATACCAAAAACAAAAACCTTTTTTCAAATCTAACGTTTAATCTTGAGGATTTCACAGCAGTCAGTCTCTTGAGGAAATACATAATTAAGTAGTTTTTTAGCATATTTAATTAGACCCCAAACTCTTCCCTGTCCCCTTCTCTCCCCAATTATGTATCATTTGCCCAAGAGACCTAAGCAACTCAGTTAATTATGTAAATAAGGCAAGCGTTATTCCCAAGAAAAGCATTGTGAATATTTGTACAGGAAAACTCTATACATATTTTAGTGGCTTTAACAAACCTTTGCAGGAAAAAAAAAAGGGACTATCAAAGTCCATGAAAAACCCTTATACTTGAGGCAAAAAGCATGGAGTTCAGTGACAAGATGGTGAATCATTAAAATAGGTCACTCATTTCACTTCTTAAATATGAGCTGAATAAAAATAAAATAATTTTAAGTTACAACAGTAACAAAAATTTAGTGCTGAACGTCAAATAATTTAAGGGAAGAATCAATCTGGAAATTATTAAAGTCGACTCTCACAGAAAAGACTTTATTATCAAGGGGTTGACATGATCTTAACTCTAGAGGCAGCCATGGTGCTGTTATAACTACTACAATCCCATTATTATGCAATCACAAAATGCTAATTTGATCATTTTGAGGTGTTATTTGAATAGTCATTTTAATTTCTAGGTTACAAAAAGGCTTGACTCAAGTATAATTCTCTATTAATCATTAAGATGTCATTGAATATCATATTGATGCATTTCACAAAGATAAAGAAAGACTAATTTAATATGTACAGTACAATATCCTTCAAATATTAGCCACTTTCATTACATATCTGCCAAACGCATCAATATTAAATAATAGATGAGAACAAGAGTTTAATTGTATTTTAGCATTTGTAATATGGAGGATAATAATAAAACAGCATCACATCATGGGATAGACTTATCGATATATAAATCTTTCTTAATCCAAGTGTAATGGTGACTGCTCCATGCACATATCCTTTGCTGATTACAAATAGATTTGATATGACAAAAGCATGGAGAGCCTTAAGTATAACCACATCTAGTAAAAATAATTCCTTTGTGACTGAGGAAATGGCTTCTTCACATTTTTTTTTTTAATTTCTCCTTGGCACTTCAAAAGTTAGATACATACCAAGGACACTTTATAACTTTCTGTCAAATCCAAAGCTAAGCAATTTATAAAATAAAATTTAATGGTATAATAAGAATTCTAGGACATAATATTTTAAAAGATCTGTGCTATTTTGTTGGCATCGAAGTATTTTTACATAGTAATTATTCCAGCAATTATGTCCTCAAACAATGAGATGGTATCAGACAACGGAAGCAAATAAATTCCAGCCGTGTAACCTAATTCCAATAATAACGCTCACAAACATATCTAAATGAATCAACTGTAGTATTTAAAAAACAAATCCTACAGTCCAACTCTCCATTTTCCAGAGACTGACATTATTGTCCCCTAGGGGGACCCTTTCTTCTCTTTGCTACATTCCACAAGAAGAAACAGGAGTCCTGGTAGGGGCAGGCTAAAGAGAAGCTTTACAATACAATCTCTCATTTACTAAAAGTCCTTTCAGATTTTTGGGGGGGCAACTCCTGAGCAAATTAGTATCTTTATGTAACTTGTACATTTTGTTTCTAGTTCTTGGCTTTCCTTTCCCACCAACATCAATAACCTCAGTTGCCCATGGCCATATAAGCTTCCTTAAACATACGGAAACATGCTGAACCTTATGAGGTAAAAGTGTTTTGAAGAGAAAACATCTCCTTGCTCAAAGATGACAACTGACAGAACCAGTACATAACCAGAAGTTGAATATAAAAAAATGCAAACATAAGCAAAGAGCCTGTATGCTTATTAATTGCAGTGGTGTTAAAATAAGACAAATTGTACACAACCCCTCCAGGCAACAAGCTATCACTGAGCACCCCCAAGCCACTGCCAGACAGCAAATATAATGGCAATAAATATAAAAATCAACTGCTACTGTCTCCTGAAAGAAGCCCAGCTCAGCTCCGCGCAGAGACACAGGAAGGCAGGCCACTAGAATAGTGGCCATTTTTCTAAAAGGAAAATAGACACGTTTTAATTTTTAAACTGCAAATTACTAGAACAAACAAAAAAATTAAGTCATCCTGCATAACAAGTGTCAAACAAGATTCCCTACCATGAAATACTGACATAAAAACAACGGCCTAGAATTCTGAAATGAAGCTCTAACCTCAACAATTTCTACAGTTACAATAAAGAATCAGACCAAGACAATGCAAACTGCCTCCCCGGAACCACTTTCAAAGCTTTCCCAACACAATCAGGCCTTGATTAACCACAACCCAACCAACCCAAATCCTCAAGTATACTTCGAAGATGAAACAGGGGAAAAAAAATACATGTCCAAATATCTCAAGACTGTTTTTGTTTTAATCCCCCAAACATACTGCTGTGGAAACAGTATTAAGCCCAAATTCAGACCTTTTTACATCCTCGGTCATAGAAGTGTGAACGACATTCTATAATTACTTTGAGTCGTTTCTGAAACCTTAAATCTAATAATAACAACACTAACAAAAACAATTCCACTCAACTGAGGTTTTATTTAAAAAGACAAAGTTTTATTTTTACTTACCTTGCCATCAAACTTGGAATACTCGTTAAATGGGTTATTCAGCTGCAGAGGGCACTGCTCTAGTCGTACAGATAATATTGACTGCCTTCCAGAACTTGGAGGTTTCTCTTTGAGGGACTTTTTTTCAAACAGTGACTTTAACTCCTGAGCTGTGATACAAGAGGAAGATAAAAACATCTTTGTAATTACACAGAGACACCGCCTGTCTACCTTCCCTAGCAAGTCTTCCTTGGAATCTTACGGAGAGAGTGTCCAGGGCATATTCAGATCTGATATGTGCAAAAAGCCTCACATATACTTTGATTTTGCACACTGAAAAGGCAGAGAGTCCTGGAAAACTGTCAGGTCAGGACTGCCAGTTTAGAAGGACTGGGGTTTAAGGAGTGGGGCAGAGTCAAACCAAGAGTAGCCATTCTGTAACAAGAGCATTCACAGCTAAAGGACCTGAGCTTTGGCCTGGCTCTGCCTCTAAGAGATGCTGTGATACTGGACAATTCACTAAAGCTCTCTGGGTTTGCCGAACTAGAGAATCTTAAAAATCTCCCCTGGCTCTAATACTGTGGGATTTTGGAATTTTAGTTCAAGGTGAAGGTCTATGTCTTAATCCTCTCATACTCTCCAAGGACACCTAGCATAAACTCTGGAAGACAAAGATGAGGAGGAAAAGGAGAAATGATATTTATAATAACAGCAGCTAACATTTACTGAGCAAGCCGATGTATCTCAATTACTCCTCCTAACAAGCCTATGAGGTAGATACTAGTATTATCTTAATTTTGCCAGTGTGGAAACTGAAGCTTAGAATACTCTGATTAGCCTTAGGCAACACAGCTAGTAAGTAGCAGAGCTGATAGTTGCAATCAGGCAAGGCTCTTAGCCATAAGGCACTAATGAACAAAGCTGACCCTCAATAAATTTTGTTGCATGAATCAATGAATAAAATAATGATTGAAGGAATTCAAATTAAATTATTATTAAATCAGAATCTTTAACTCTTACTCATTAGTGAATCAAGACAAGTTAGTTCCATATCTTGTCAAAGATCATTTAAGTGTCCATATTAATCTGAGTATCATTTAAGGTGGTAGCTAGATAAGTACATGGAGATTTATTACTTTTCAGTTTTGTAAATATTAGAAAATTTCCATACTTAGATTTTAAAATCAATCAATCCTAGATCTTACAACCTGTAACGAATAGGTCCAACCCCATTCCATTTTTGAGCACAGCCAAACTGAACTTAGAGAGATCAAACAGAACTCCGAAATAGTGACTTAGAACTTTTAAAAAATGTAACTAAAACCATCTTTTCAACAAACTAGTGGGACAAATTTATCCAATGAGTCCCTATAAATGTAAGTGGCAAACCAGGAGAAAAGGATCTAATTCGCTTTTAAAATGTGGCACCTGACTATCCAATTCCAGAATCTGAATATGTAAGTTCAACAGATGTTAAATGCACATTTGAAAAAGTTTTAGATTACATGGTATTTTAGATTACAAGTATTAGTCTGCACATAATCTATTAACAGTTTTATTGCTACACTTTGGAAAGGAATAACCCTTTATTAAATACCTACTATGGGTCGGGAACAATTCGAGGTGTTGCCTCAACTTGTCCTCACAATGGTCTTAAGAGATGGGTTACTACTCCATGAACAAACTGAGGTGTAGCAAACATAAGTAACTTATCAAAGTTACACAACTGTTATCAGTAAGCTTGGGGGTGAAGTGATGATATATATATATATTTTTTTTTAATTTTTTTATTCTTATATTATCCCCATACATTACATCATTAGTTTTAGATGTAGTGTTCCATGATTCATTGTTTGCGCATAACACCCAGTGCTCCATGCAGAATGTGCCCTCCTCCAAACCCATCATCAGGCTAACCCATCCTCCCACTCCCCTCCCCTCTAGAACCCTCAGTTTGTTTTTCAGAGTCCATCGTCTCTCATGGTTCGTCTACCCCTCCGATTTCTCCCCCTTCATTCTTCCCCTCCTGCTACCTTCTTCTTCTTCTTCTTTTTTTTCTTAACATATATTGCATTATTTGTTTCAGAGGTACAGATCTGAGATTCAACAGTCTTGCAGAATTCACAGCGCTTACCAGAGCACATACCCTCCCCAGTGTCTATCACCCAGTCACCCCATCCCTCCCACCCCACCCCCCACTCCAGCAACCCTCAGTTGGTTTCCTGCGATTAAGAATTCCTCATATCAGTGAGGTCATATGATACATGTCTTTCTCTGTTTGACTTACTTCGCTCAGTATAATACCCTCCAGTTCCATCCACGTTGTTGCAAATGGCAAGATCTCATTCCTTTTGATGGCTGCATAATATTCCATTGTATATATATACCACAGCTTCTTTATCCATTCATCTGTCGATGGACATCTTGGCTCTTTCCACAGTTTGGCTATTGTGGACACTGCTGCTATAAACATCGGGGTGCATGTACCCTTTCGGATCCCTACTTTTGTATCTTTGGGGTAAATACCCAGTAGTGCAATTGCTGGGTCATAGGGTAGCTCTATTTTCAACTTTTTGAGGAACCTCCACACTGTTTTCCAGAGTGGCTGCACCAGCTTGCATTCCCACCAACAGTGGAGGAGGGTTCCCCTTTCTCCGCATCCCCGCCAACATCTGTTGTTTCCTGACTTGTTAATTTTAGCCATTCTGACTGGTGTGAGGTGGTATCTCATTGAGGTTTTGATTTGGATTTCCCTGATGCCGAGCGATATTGAGCACTTTTTCATGTGTCTGTTGGCCATGTGGATGTCTTCTTTGGGAAAATGTCTGTTCATGTCTTCTGCCCATTTCTTGATTGGATTCTTTGTTCTTTGGGTGTTGAGTTTGAGGAGTTCTTTATAGATTTTGGATACCAGTCCTTTATCTGATACGTCATTTGCAAATATCTTCTCCCATTCTGTCGGTTGTCTTTTGGTTTTGTTGACTGTTTCCTTTGCTTTGCAAAGCTTTTTGTCTTGAAGAAGTCCCAACAGTTCATTTTTGCCCTTGCTTCCCTTGCCTTTGGCAATGTTTCTAGGAAGAAGTTGCTGTGGCTGAGGTCGAAGAGGTTGCTGCCTGTGTTCTCCTTTAGGATTTTGATGGACTCCTGTCTCACATTGAGGTCTTTCAACCATTTGGAGTCTATTTTGGTGTGTGGTGTAAAGAAATGGTCCAGTTTCATTCTTCTGCATGTGGCTATCCAATTTTCCCAACACCATTTGTTGAAGAGACTGTCTTTTTTCCATTGGACATTCTTTCCTGCTTTGTCGAAGATTAGTTGACCATAGAGTGGAGGGTCCATTTCTGGGCTCTCTATTCTGTTCCATTGATCTATGTGCCTGTTTTTGTGCCAGTACCATACTGTCTTGATGATGACAGCTTTGTAATAGAGCTGGAAGTCCGGAATTGTGATGCCGCCAGCTTTGCTTTTCTTTTTCAACATTCCTCTGGCTATGCGGGGTCTTTTCTGGTTCCATACAAATTTTAGGATTATTTGTTCCATTTCTTTGAAAAAAGTGGATGGTATTTTGATGGGGATTGCATTGAATGTGTAGATTGCGCTAGGTAGCATTGACATCTTCACAATATTTGTTCTTCCAATCCATGAGCATGGAACGTTTTTCCATTTCTTTGTGTCTTCCTCAATTTCTTTCATGAGTATTTTATAGTTTTCTGAGTACAGATCCTTTGCCTCTTTGGTTAGATTTATTCCTAGCTATCTTACGGTTTTGGGTGCAATTGTAAATGGGATCGACTCCTTAATTTCTCTTTCTTCTGTCTTGTTGGTGTATAGGAATGCCACTGACTTCTGTGCATTGATTTTATATCCTGCCACTTTACTGAATTGCTGTATGAGTTCTAACAGTTTTGGGGTGGAGTCTTTGGGGTTTTCCACATAAAGTATCTTATCATCTGCAAAGAGTGGGAGTTTGACTTCTTCTTTGCGGATGTGGATGCCTTTTATTTCTTTTTGTTGTCTGATTGCTGTGGCTAGGACTTCCAATACTACGTTGAATAGCAGCGGTGATAGTGGACATCCCTGCCGTGTTCCTGACCTTAGGGGGAAAGCTCTCAGTTTTTCCCCATTGAGATTGATATTTGCTGTAGGTTTTTCATAGATGGCTTTTATGATATTGAGGTATGTACCCTCTATGCCTATACGCTGAAGAGTTTTGATCGAGAAAGGATGCTGTACTTTGTCAAATGCTTTTTCTGCATCTATTGAGAGGATCATATGGTTCTTGTTCTTTCTTTTGTTAATGTATTGTATCACGTTGATTGATTTGCGGATGTTGAACCAATCTTGCAGCCCAGGGATAAATCCCACTTGGTCGTGGTGAATAATCCTTTTAATGTACTGCTGGATCCTATTGGCTAGTATTTGGGTGAGAATTTTTGCATCCATGTTCATCAGGGATATTGGTCTGTAATTCTCCTTTTTGATGGGGTCTTTGTCTGGTTTTGAGATCAAGGTAATGCTGACCTCATAAAATGAGTTTGGAAGTTTTCCTTCCGTTTCTATTTTTTGGAACAGTTTCAGAAGAATAGGTATTAATTCTTCTTGAAATGTTTGGTAGAATTCCCCTGGGAAGTCATCTGGCCCTGGGCTTTTGTTTTTTGGGAGATTTTTGATGACTGCTTCAATTTCCTTAGTGGTTATAGGTCTGTTCAGGTTTTCTATTTCTTCCTGGTTCAGTTTTGGTAGTTGATACATCTCTAGGAATGCATCCATTTCTTCCAGGTTATCTAATTTGCTGGCATAGAGTTGCTCATAATATGTTCTTATAATTGTTTGTATTTCTTTGGTGTTGGTTGTGATCTCTCCTCTTTCATTCATGATTTTGTTAATTTGGGTCATTTCTCTTTTCTTTTTGATAAGTCTGGCCAGGGGTTTATCAATCTTGTTAATTCTTTCAAAGAACCAGCTCCTAGTTTCGTTGATCTGTTCTACTGTTCTTTTGGTTTCTATTTCATTGATTTCTGCTCTGATCTTTATTATTTCTCTTCTCCTGCTGGGTTTAGGTTTTATTTGCTGTTCTTTCTCCAGCTCCTTTAGGTGTAGGGTTAGGTTGTGTACTTGAGACCTTTCTTGTTTCTTGAGAAAGGCTTGTATTGCTATATACTTTCCTCTT